TTGAGAGGATAAAGAGCTGGTCCAGTGTTCCGCAACCAGGATGAAAACCGCATTGTTCCTCCTGTATCCGAGGTTTGACTAGCGGACAAACTCTCCTTTCCAACACCCTGGCATAGACTTTCCCAGGGAGGCTGAGGAGTGTGATCCCCCTGTAGTTGGAACACACCCTCCGGTCCCCCTTCTTAAAGATGGGGACCACCACCCCGGTCTGCCAGTCCAGTGGTACTGCCCCTGATCTCCACGCAACATTGTAGATGCATGTCAACCAGGACAACCCTACAACGTCCAGAGCATTCAGGAACTCGGGGCAGACCTCATCAACACTAGGGGCTCTGCCACCAAGGAGTTGTTTAACTGCCTCAGTGACCTCGCCCCCGGAAATTGGCGGGTCATTCCCCTCATCCCCAGACTCTGCTTCCTCCTTGGAAGACGTGTCAGTGGGATTAAGGAGGTCCTCGAAGTATTCCTTCCACCGCCTGACAATTTTCTCAGTCGACGTCAGCAGCGCTCCGCCAGCACTATACACAGTGCAGGTAGAGCACCGCTTTCCCCTCCTGAGACACCTGACGGTTTGCCATAATCTCTTCGAGGCAGTCCGAAAGTCTTCTTCTATGGCCACTCCAAACTCCTCCCACACCCGAGTTTTTGCTTCAGCCACTGCCCAAGCCGCTCACCAAGTCCCAAAGGCTAACCAAGCCCGATAGGACTCCTTCTTCAGCCTGGTGGCTCCCTTCACCTCTGGTGTCCACCATTTGGTTCAGGGATTACCATCACGGCAGGCACCAACCACCTTGCTGCCACAGCTCAATGCAGCAGCTTCGGCAATGGAGACGCTGAACATGGTGCATTCGGACTCATTGTCCCCAGTCTCCCTCGGAATGCTGTTGAAGTTCTGCCGGAGGTGTGCGTTGACGATCTCGCGGACTGGAGCCTCTGCTAGACGTTCCCAGCACACCCTCACTACACGTTTAGGTGCACTGGGTCTGTCCAGCGTCTTTCCCCGCCACCTGATCCAACTCACCACCAGGTGGTGATCAGTTGACAGCTCAGCCCCTCTCTTTACTAGAGTGTCTAGAACATATGGTCGCAGGTCTGGTGATACGGATACGATTACAAAATCAATCATCGACCTGCGGCCTAGAGCGTCCTGGTGCCACGTGCAGTTATGGACACTCTTATGTTCGAACAAGGTGTTCGTTATGGCCAAACTGTGATTTGCACAGAAGTCCAATAACAAAACACCACTCAGGTTCAGGTCAGGGAGGGAGTTCCTCCCAATCACACCCCTCCAGGTTTCGCTGTCGTTACCCACGTGAGCATTGAAGCACAACAGAGCACCTTCCTGCACCCCCCCAGGGACTCTAAGAAGGCTGGGTACTCTGAACTGCCACTTGGCGCATAAGCACAGATGACAGTCAGGACCCGTTCCCCGACCCTAAGGCGCAGGGAACAAACCCTCTCATCCACCGGGAAAAACCCCAACTTACCGGCAGCAAGCCGAGGGGATATAAGAATACCCACCCCAGCCCGCCGCCTCCCACCAGGGGCAATTCCAGACAGAGTCCAGCCCCTCTATAGGAGACTGGTTCCAGAGCCCAATCCATGCATAGAGGTGAGTCCGACTATATCTAGCCGGTACCTCTCAGCCTCACACACTAACTCAGGCTCCTTCCCCACCAGAGAGTTTACATTCCATGTCCCTATTGCCAGTCTTGGCAGCCGGGGATCAGTCCGCCAGGGCCTCCGCTCCTGGCCGCCACCCGGCGGACAATGCACCCGACCCCTATGGCGCCTCCTGCGGGTGGTGGGCCTGCAGGAGGATTGGCCCATGTCTCCGCTTCGGGCTGTGCCTGGCCGGGCCCCATGGACTAATGCCTGGCCACCAGACGCTCGCCCTCGGGCACCCTCCCCGGGCCTGGCTCCAGGGTGGGGCCCCGGTAAACCTATCCCGGGCAGGGTAAACTGTTCCTCTCCATGAATTGCTACCTTATTGTGGTGGAGGGGTTTGTTTGTCCCAGGGATCCCAGGGGCTATGTTTTCTGGGGGCTTTTGCCCCCTGGTAGGGTCTCCCATGGCAAATTGGTCCTGGGTGAGGGACCAGACAAAGAGCGATTCAGAAGACCCTTACGTGTTTTTTGTTTTTCTTTTAAATTTATGTGTATCATTGATCTCCGAATGACTGTTATGTTTATATTTATTGTCACAACCATTTAATAGAATAGAAAAAATTAGCACTTTTTATTGTCATTGTGCATGTGCAACAAAATTGTGGCTACTCCACACCGCCTGTGCCAGAAAATATATATAAGAGCCAACAAATAAAGCAAATTTTCTGTTCAGTTTTTATAGATGACTTGTGGCGTTTTTTGTGTCTGCAGTCTGTCAGGCTGTCTGATCACAGAGGAAGGCTGTACTTCTCTGGCTTCAGCTCTGAGCTCCAACCCCTCCCATCTGAGAGAGCTGGACCTGAGCTACAATTATCCAGGAGACTTAGGAATGAAGCTGCTGTCGGCTGGACTGAAGGATCCAGGCTGGAGACTGGACACTCTCAGGTATGGAGAGAATGTCTGATAGAGGAGGAAGAGCTGGAAACATTTTCCGTGTCCTTCACTCACTTCCTCTTTATTTCATGCAGATGTAAAATGAACAATCACACATGCAGGAACAGTTTTCATTTCAAGAAATAGTGGGGCTAGGTTTTTGGATATACAGTGAGGAAAAAAGTATTTAGTCAGCCACGAATTGTGCAAGGTCTCTCACTTAAAAAGATGAGAGAGCCTGTAATTTTCATCATAGGTATATCTCAACTATGAGAGACAAAATGAGAAAAAAACCCCAGAAAATCACATTGTTTGATTTTTAAAGAATTTATTTTTCAAATTATGGTGGAAAATAAGTATTTGGTCACCTACAAACAAGCAAAATCTCTGGCTCTCACAGACCTGTAACTTCAAAAAGGCATCTGCTGTTATGCTTACACATCTGATGAAGTCTCACAAGTGTCAGTACTGATAAATGCTGTGGGTAATGAGAAAGGATGAAAAGAGCGATTGATAACTTTTTCGTTAAGCCCTAATCTGTCTGAAATTCATAGCCAGTGCTCTGACAAGGAGCCATCAACCTCTCAGGTTATGTCTAACACTGGTGCAGAGATGGCATCAGATAATGAGCCACATACGATCAACTCCAAGCTAGAGCCCACTAAAAGTAAAAGGGGGAAAACATCTTGATGCATTCTCAATCATCCAGGTAAGTAAATCTCCAAAGGTTGATTATGTTTATCTGGACGTAGCGTTTTCAGTGGGAGAAACGTTTCATCACTCAACCAAGTGACTTCTTCAGTTTCACCTGACGGCAGGTTTCCCCAATCTTATAAACAGTGCATTCGCATAATGACTGAAACCAGCCTACTTCATCATGATGAAGGAACTGACCTCCCAGCCCTTTGTTTCTTCATTGGGCTGCTTTCAGTCATTATGCAAATTATGCAAAACCCAGTGTTTACCTTGTCTTGTCCTGCTTAATTAGTTCGTCGTGTTTCCACCTGTTCCTCGTTTCCTCTTGTTCCTGCTGGTGTATTTTAGTTCCTTGTCATCCATCGTTAACGTCAGATCGTCCCCATGCTGTGTGTTTCCTGTTTTTCCCCGCGAGAGTACAGTTAGCATTTCCCAGTTTAGTTTTTTGTTGACTTGTATCACCTGTTTGCCTTAAATAAAGCAGTGCATCCGATTTGCCTTTTGCCTCCAAGAAGCTCAGTTTTTAAAACCTTTTGATGTAACTACAGCCCAACCCATTCAGCAGTATATTAATGACTAACCTCGTATTGCAGTTGTTCTCCTGACTGCAGCTTGGTCCGTTTACAGCATCCTGCCATGTGATTGCATCAGGGACCCTCACTTTAACTTTTATCGAGTGGAAAAAAGTTAGCATTCATCTCCAGCTTCACTCTGTTTATATTATTGTAGCCATAGCTGTGTAGCTAGCCACCACGCAGCACATAATTTTATACTAGCCGCGAAGGATTACCACTCACTTGCAGAAGAAGCGGATCGCATTCTCCTGGCTACTAGGAGCTTCTGCATCCAGGCAACAGTTTCCAACTCACTGACGGCATCTCCTGCACCCCCACCGATTGTGCCAGGGGCCCCGACTCATCGATGGTGACTAGGATCAAAGCAGGGCCGCACCGTGGAAAAAGGCTTTGTTTTTACCATCAGCGTGAAAGCGCCGTGCTGCCTTTTCAGTTTTAAGCCCCAGGGAAACGAGTCAAGCGCTCTGTAGCATCTGCGAACGCTGGTGATAAGGAATGGCTACTCTTTATAAAGGACTCATGCTTGCGGAGACATTTTCTGGTTGACTTCGGCTACGAGAACTCCCAGAAGAGCCTCGGGAACTCTCATGTCGTCTTTCCATACCTCCACAATGGTATATTATTTAATCTTAAAAAAAAAAAAATGGAGATTTCCCATGTACGACCAGATACAGCCCAAGTACCACAGTCTGAGAAAAACTGGTCTAGAGCCCTGCATGTCTAGGCCCATCTGAAGTTTGATAGAGAGCATTTGGATGGTCCAGAACAGGATTGGGAGAATTCCATATGGTCAGATGTAACCAAAATAGAACTTTTTGGTAAAAATTCTACTTGTTGTGTTTTTGAGGAGAAATAATGCTGAGTTGCATCCAAAGAACACCATGCCTACTTTGAAGCATGGGGTTGAAAACATCATGCTTTGGGGCTGTTTTTCTGCAAAGGGACCAGGATGACGGATCCGTGTAAAGGAAAGAATGAATGGGGCCATGTGTCGTGACATTTTGAGTGAAAACTTCCTTTTTCCTCCATTGAAGATGAAACATAGCTGGGTCTTTCAGCATGACAATGATCCCAAACACACCACCCGGGCAATGAAGGAGTGGCTTCATAAGAAGCTTTTCAAGGTCTTGGAGTGGCCTAGTCTCCAGATCTCAACCCCCATAGAAGTCTGTGTTCCGCAGTGACAGCCCCAAAACATCAATGCTCTTGAGGAGATCTGCATGGACAAATTGGCCCAAATACCAGCAACAGTCTGTGTTGGTAACTGATAGAGACTTCAAAAGGTGAGAGACCTGTAGGTGAGGAAGTGAGAGTGTTATGATCATATTCTGCCCAAGTTCGAAATGAGGACAAGGATGCCTTTAAGTTCCTGATTGAGGCATTGACGTTGTCCATTAGTTTGTTGATGGTACTCTGAAATCAAACACAGTTTTGTCTTCTAATGTCTTCCAAATTTGAGAAGTGAATTGGAGCCCTCTATCTGAAACAATCAGGATTGGAATTCCATGCATCCTGAAAATGTGTTCAGGTAAAATCTGAGCTGTCTCAGTAAATGGCCTGTATTTGTATAGCGCTTTATTTAATCCTAAGGACCCCAAAGCGCTTTACATGTTCAGTCATCCATCCATTCACACACACACACTGGTGGTGGCAAGCTACAGTGTAGCCACAGCTGCCCTGGGGCGCACTGACAGAGGTGAGGCTGCCGGACACTGGCACCACCAGGCCCTCTGACCACCACCAGTAGGCAACGGGTAAAGTGTCTTGCCCAAGGACACAACGACCGAGACTGTCCAAGCCGGGGCTTGAACCGGCAACCTTCCGATTACAAGACGAACTGCCAATTCTTGAGCCACGATCTTGACCCCAGTGGGGAGAATGGTGGACGCTTTAAGCAGTTCGCTTGCAGGGTTTCACTGATGTGACAGAGCATCCGGCTTGATATTGCTTGACCCTGGGTGATAGGAAATGAAAAAGTTGAACCGATTGATAAACAGGCACCAGCAGGCTTGGCAAGCATTAAGTCGTCTAGCAGTATGGAGGTAAGATAAGTTTTTATGATCATTCCAGATAACAAATGGATGCTCTGCCCCTTCGAGTAGCAGACGTTATTTCTCCAAAGCCAGTTTTACTCGTTCCCTTAGCCGTTCCCTATCTCTTATGTCAACCCCAACATCCGATGCATCCACCTCAACAATGAATGGTTTACTGTGATTAGGATGGATTAATTGATCTGGATTAATACCAGCGTGGATGTAAACAGTTCCTTTAATCTGGAGAATTCGGCCTCAGCTTCCTGGTTCCTAACAAAAGGAAACTTTGTGGACATGAGACAAGTCAAGGAAGCAGCTACTTGGCAATAATTCTGAATGAAACGACGGTAAAGGTTTGCAAAATCAAGAAAGCATTGTAGGTGTTTCTGAGAGGTGGGGACTGGCCACTCAATGACTGCCTTTATTTTTGCTGGATCTGTCTTCACCTTGCCCCCTGCAAGTATGTAACCCAGAAATGACATGGATGATCAATGGAATTCACAGTTTTGTGCTTTGACACATAACTTATTTTCTAGCAGCCATTGGAGCGCTATATAAAGAAAATTGAATTGAATAGAAATTGAATTGAAGCACGGACATGGACCATCTAGATCTATAGAAAAAAAACATCAGGATGTCGTCTAGGTAGACAAATATGAAACGGTTCAAAAAAATCCCTGAGTGCATCATTAACTAGATTCTGAAAGACCGTACAGGTGCATTTGTAAGGCCTAAAGGCATCACTAGATACTCATAGTAGAGTGTTGAATGCGGTGTTCCACTCATCTCCCTCTCTGATTTTGACTAGGTGTTAGGCATTTCGGAGATCTAGTTTGATGAAAATTGTGGTGCAGTGGAAAGGTTCAAAGGTGGCGCTGATAAGAGGCACGGGGTATTTATTTTTTATGGTGATTTCATTCAGACTCTGAAAGTAAATGCACAGACAAAGTGAACTGTCTTTCTTAAGAACAAAGAAAAAATGGCTCCTACAGGTGAAGATGACAGTCAGACAATGTCGGCAGCAAGAGAGTCTTTAATGTATTTTTCACCTTTTCAAAGGAAGAGTTGAGCCTGGTAACAGTTCTATTGCACAATCATAGGGTCTATGGGGTGGTAGTGAAAAAGCTCTTTTCTTACTGAATAATTCTTGGAGATCGTGATGTACTGAGGGAATGGAGGAAAAGTCAGCGGCAGTGTTCGACTCAGGCGAGGGTTCAACGGTCTCCGGTGCTGGTGCAGAGATGAGGCAATTGGCATAACAAACTAGGCTCCAGCTTATTAGCTTTTGGCCAACCCAATCTGGGTAGGGAATATGGACCTTTGGCCAGGGAAACCCTAAAATAATGGCTGTATCAGCAGATTGGAAAATGTAAAAGCTGAGTGTTATTCTGTGGTTACCGGAAGTGACTATAGTAATGGGCGCGGTGCAATGAGTAATGTGAGAAAAGACCTGATTGTTCGGAGCCTTAGCAGGGTTGGGCGGGTTTGACTCAAAGAGGGGAATGTGAAGTTGCTTAGCTAATTCCCTATCAATTAAACTTTTCTCGGCTCCTGAATCTAGTAGGGCTTGTGAGATGTGAGTTACCTGACCGAGCAAGAGTGTAACTTGAAGTTGCAAACGTGGCTTAAAATCTACATAGGTAACACCCACCCATATCCCCTGACCTACTGGCAGATGGCTCCTTTTCCCTTTTTGGGCCAGGAAGAG